AATAAAGCTTGTTTGCTGCCTTGACGATAAGTGTTTACCTAACGTCCCACCAATCAGCGTTAGCATACCAGGTTTGCAAATTCAATTCTATATTTTTTTGAATAATTAAATAATATAAAATCTTGAAATATGGAGGTACATGTCAATAGAAATTCCCTTGATAGTTTAACATTCGCATTTATTTCACATTCTACTTCTAAAAATAAATTAAATTATTAGTATTTGGGCAATCGAAATACAATATACAATATATTGTTATAGTAACCCATTTGGACCTGTAAAGCAGATAACAGGCAAGGTTTACAAGACGATTAAATGGGTTGGGTTATAGATGGGGGGTGGTTGAAGAAGGAAGGGGGAATAAAGAAGAAGGATTGGGTATGGGTTGCATGAGAAATTCAAATAAGTTCAACCTGTGATCAGCCGCAAAAGCCTGGCCACTTTAAGAGAGTGGATCCAAAGTTCGATGGGACGAAGGTTTGTGTGCGAAGAGAGGCAAGAAAACAGACGAGCGATGTCATGAGGGGTAGACCTGCAGTTTGAATTAGACGTTTTTATGCGTGACAAGTAATTGTTGTTGTTGTAGCTCCCAAAGATCTATAGAGCAGATAATATGAAATAAATTATAGGACAAATAACTGAATTAAAATGTAGATACGTCTTGGTAGTGTGAGTTGGGAAATGATTATTTAGGAGTAAGAATGAATTAGGGGATGGCTGGTATTTAAATTGAAGTCCACTTCTCTGGGCTTCTATTGTATCCAAAGATATAATCAAATCACATACTTATCTAGCAACAACAAAATATGCAATTATGAATGTTCAGTTTTAATTGTACTTACATTTTTATAACAGAATAACTACTCAAGTATGATAATATTTTCTTTATTAGACCTTTTTTTTTTTAAAGAAATGTGTGATATTTTCGAAGTCAAATTCATAATTTATATACATTAATATGTTGCTATATACAATTTGTTGCTCGTTGTATTAAACGTATGGACATATTGGAAGAAATATGAATAATAATCAAACGAATGAATTTTGAATTTGTGAATGCTCACGCTTACAAGAAAGTTTTAGCAAGTGTGTGAGAACACTGGAGCGAAAAGAACTAACAAATAAGTCAATAAACAACCAAATAGTTAATACAGATCTTTCAAGTATATTCAGAAGTATGTTACAAAGAAAACTGGTTACAAGATAGCCACTAGATGAAGACCGGGCTACAAGCAAACTGTACTATACTACGCACTGGAGTGCAATATATGTGCCGGTAACAGTACATTAAATCCGAGACCATCTAATATATAGACTTTCGACGACGACGACTATAAATAGTTGTGTTTTTGCAGTACCACACGGAGAGAAACTTTAAAGTAGGAAGATATATGAATGAATAACAAGATAAATACGCAGGTGGGTAAGATATGTTAGTGGTTAAAATGTCTCGTTAAGCAGAGAAAGGAGGGAAAGTGTGATTGGTGCCTATGAATTGTAAATTCTTTTTGTTCTGTCAGTTTTAGACCTCTGTCAATTTCAATAAATAGGAAATGAAGAAGAGTGAGATGGAATGGATTATAGTAATTTAAATTTAAAGTAACAGAAGTTAATGATTAAGTCAACTACTAATAGAACTGTAAAATTCTTTTTCATAATGGACAAGATTCATTAAAGATCTATCAATTTTTCTCACAGATCTAAAAATAAAAAAATGCAAAAGACGGTAAACTAAATATTATTCGAGTTATTCAAAGCCTGAGTATGATTGCGCTAGATCACAGAGATCCTGTTGAAAGTCTTTTAAAACTGTATTGTGTTCAATCAGTTGCTATTATATGTATTTATATATAATAAAATAGTTTGAAGTCATCGAGCAGCTCAAACATCTTTTAATAATTAAAATGTTCAATCGAAATAATCGAATTCAAGTATAATCGAGCAGCTTAAATATCGCAAATAAATAAATAGATAATAATATAATACATAATATAAATGATGTAGAAAATTTGTATTATTTTTTGTTATTTTGAAAATTGAAACTAAAATTGATTTAAATACATATATGTTTTTTTTTTCTTCCAGAGGAATATCCATATGTTTCGCCTGAATGCACAGTTATAGATCAAGAGTATTTAGCCACGCCATTTCTAAAGGCAATACACACGGCCTTATTCTTACGTATTGCAAAACTACCTAAGCTCCATTCTTTATCACACATATTGGACACTTGGGAAATGTCAGTGCGTCAGGCTTGCTCATCATCAGCCAAAACGGGCAATGATCTTGCAAGTATTTTTTATTCACAAATTTAATTATAAGAAAAATTAATAATTATAAACTTTATTTTAATAAATCGAAATATGTTATTTTATATATTTATAAATTATCAAATGAATAAAAATTATTGAACATTTAAAAATATTTTTATATGTTATGACATTTCCATCACCTAATAGCAGCTAATCGCACCTTCCGCTTCAGATTTAATGTATGAGAGATTATAAAATAAGTTTCCGGAGCCACTCGTCAATCTTGACGACCAAGTGCCGTTCATCATCCCCAAAAGGGATTTTATAAGCAAATATCCACGCGCTACTACAGCAGCAAAATAAATCGATTTTAAAATATTTATTATTAGTTTTTCATATAACACTAATTTTCTTAAAACCTTCCAATTCCTTCCTTCTTTCATATGCTTTGATAGAAATTGGGTCAAAAAATAAAGACCTTTTTCTAGGCTCAGCAAACTTCGCATAGTGTCTACTTCCGAGTATAAAAAAAAAGTAAAATGTGATTGAACTAAAACATATGATTTTACCTTCTGCTCAAAAAGTATCCGGATTTTGTTTGTTAACTACTCCTTAAGTAATAGACCTTTTTCACCCTTTCTTGACATATGGTACAAATTTGAGCGCCATCTGTCAATTAGTTTGTTTACAGCAGCTGTTAATGTGAGACTACCTCAAGTGCATTAAGCGATTTTTACTATGGAAAATTCTTGTTGTACGCGATTTTTCGACCAAACACGGCACCACTGTCATCGCTCAGGCACCTTATTCGCCAGATCTGGATCCGTGCGACTTTTTCCTGTTCCCGAAACTCAAACTTCCCCTTCGTGGTAAGCATTTTGAGTCGATTGAATCGGTAAAGGAGAATTCGCTGAAGGAACTAAAAGCCATACTTTCACGGGCCTACGAAAAGAGTATGGTAGACTGGATTAAGCGTTGGCATATGTGTATCGATTTAGAAGGAGTATATTTTGAAGGAGATAAAATAAATTTGGAATAAAATTTAAGTTTGTGTGTTTTATTTACAAAATCCGAGTACTTTTTGAGCAGAAGGTATATCTTGCATACACATTAGTACATTTTTATTTATAAGTATTTAATATATAGGTGTCATTTACAACAGCTTGATGCGGCCTTGCTATTTTCGATTCCACCAGTAATTGAAATTTAAACTTCGCTATCTTTTTCGGATCTATTCGTAAGTGAACGATAGTAAAATATTTTTTCCCATTCAAAGCCCTAACTACGAAAACTACTCACCTTTACGCTGCCTATACGATTTTATGCTCAACTGCATACACTATTGGTCTTTGTCTCCGAGATCCATTATAGTGAACAGTTTCCTCTACCTCGACTTAAGCTTGACTTACAATTAAGACTTTTTCACTACCTCAACCAAACTTTTGTTTCTTACTGTAAACTTATCTAACCATATTCTAGCCCATGTCTTCTTTTTTTCTTTGCTTGATCAAACGAGAGTTGGTGTTTAAAACAGTTTTACTCAATACTGTGTGACCACTTGAATGATCCATTGTAATAAGAGCTACGTTGAATTCTGGTAATTTGTTATTCAGATGATTTTATAGATGTTCCATTGTATGAAACATGAATGATCCATTGTAATAAGAACTACGTTGAATTCAGATAATTAGTTACTCAGATAGGTAATAGATAAGATAGATAAATAGATAGATAATTAGTTATTAGCAGAAAATAGGGACAGATGGATGTAGATCGCGAGGGAGTCCAAGGTTCATACTGGACTGTAGTGCCAAATAAGAAGAGAAAAAGTTATTCAGATGATTTTATAAGAGTATACTTTGATGCCCAGCATATCCTCCTATTCATATTAATACAAAATCGGGAATCTGTTTCCAATCGAATAAGGTACAATCGAATAAGGTCTAGGCTAGAAACACACTTTAGATACCATAATTTCTATAAAGTGTTTGAACATATCTTAGTACTAAAACTCCAAGCATTCTTTTGCAAAAATCTTTATTATTACAAAATCTACTTCGAAATTTAATTATGGTATCACTAAGCATCTAAGGATCTATGTATGGCTTATGACCAGCCAGATTAGTTTAAACTAATCAAACAAAAAATTCTTGTCTATGAAAATTTTGAATAAAAACACACATAGATACATTCTATATCTCACCAAAGTTACTTTTAAACTTAATTTTTGAAAAAGGGGATATATACAATATTCAAATATAAGGACTCATACAATGATATCAGGGTACTTGCTGAGACAAAAAGACATACCAGCTTTGAAATGAAACTCCGTATTAAGTATCACGCTTTTTTATTAAAATTTGTATAGCACAGTAAATTTATTTAAACTAATTATTTGTATAAATGTACTTTAAACTATTTCTATATTTACTATAATTATTTTTCTTATTTGGTTTCCCAAATATATTAAATTTGTTGTCGTGGTAATGTCTCGAGAACGCAAGAAAAATTGTAACATCAAACACAAAAATTTGAGAATAATCTGATGATGTATCCTCTTCGGTTACCACTGAGCTTGGTGCGAACATTGTAATGACATATGACAATGAAACTATAGTTTTTAATAAAATTAAATTACTAAATGAATCTCAATGTATGAAGCACAAAGTTGTCTTTTGTTATGATTTGGTTTAAAATAATTTTACGATAGTCAAAAAACACTAATGTTCATTTTAAGGAACAAAATCGTTTAGAATATTTTGCTTTTTATTTTATAGCGTTAACTTTATTAGCTACAGATTGCACTCTTCTCATCTTTAAAATGTACTAGTTTTTTTTGTTAATGTGTAAATGCAATACACTTCAAATTCAAACGAAAAATATAAGTCTTTGAACATCTTCTAAATACTATTCCCCTAGATGACTATCATAAACTTTTTATACAATTTATATTCTGGAGTATAAGTTTTTAGCTGTATCCATCATGCCACTATAGTCCGTTGTATACACGATTTATAGGTGTTTGATCCAGTATTTTACGCAGTGCTGTAAATTAAAAAAATTATTTTAATAATCTGATAAAATTTACGTTAAAAACAATTTAATTATGAAAATAACAAAATATAATACAGTAGATATAAATATAATATATAAATAGGTTAGGTTAGGTTAGGTTATATTGGCGATCCCAAAGGGGCTACTTAGGCCTACAGAGGCTCAGTGTGTTACGGTATAAATAAGAACTAAGGGGTTAGAACCTTTGATAAAGCTTAATTATACAGCTATTCAAGGAGAATTCTTGCAGTTCAGAAAGATTCTCAAAAAAGAAAGTCCTTAACGTGGTAAGGCAGCGACGCGCGTATGCTGGACAGGAAAAGAAAGCAGATGGGAGACACTTTCATCGTCCTCTCCACAACTGCGACAGATATGATTGAATAGAAGATTAAATTTTCTAGCATGGTTTCCCAAAATACAAAGACCTGTAAGTAAACCTACTACAAGACTAATATCTCTACAGGGCAGTTGAAATAATCAGATAAAAGTATATACAATCATATTTGCAAACATACTTGAGAGTTTAAACTTAAACTTTTCAACTAATTCCAGCGATCTGATACCATGGTTCCAAGATCGATCAGATTTACTTCCAAGAGCCACTCGTCGTGTTCGACGAACAAGTGCCATTCAACATTCACAAATGGGACTATACCAGCAGATCTTTGCGGGTTACCAAAACAATGATCAAAAAAAATGCTACGACTAGAAACTACTAAACGGGCTGGCTAGCGGAGGCTTTTGGAAGCGTAATGTAATGATCAACTAAGTAAGTAAATCACCTAAACAGTTCTTCCATAATATTAATTACAATTTATTACTTCCTTCGATTTAAACCTCTTCTTACTCATCCTAACTCATTCCATTTGTTATTTTTTCAACTATATTTCTAATTTGTTAATGCTTACTAAACAGATCATTCGGAAATGGAAAATCTTCGTTAAACCTGTAATTACAGTAGAAACAACAGCAAAATAATCATTTCTTTATCATAAATGTACGTATTAAATGTGACATATATTAATAATGAAAAATGGGCGTTGCGATATAACGTACGACTGCAGAAAGGTGTATAAAATTAACAAACTAGGTTTTCTCATAAAAAACGTTATTGCGCTATAAAGGTATAAATTAACGTTTTGTTATTAAAATACATTAATACTACTAAACTTTATTCTACCCATCCCTAAACCATTCTTACTCCTAAATAATCCCATCTTCTCTCACACACCTATTACTAATCCACATTCTAACTCATGTATATGTCTTCGTAATTCCTTCCATGTTATCTGCTTTACTGACTCTTCCGGACTACAACTTCTAAACTTTGCTTACAAAAAATAGATTAATTTTAAATTACAGCAGACTAGTGTAATATACATATTAATTGCATCAGATTTTAGAGTAATAGAGATCTGATTATATAATCTTACTAGAAATTACTTTGATACTTATATTAAGAAGAGCTTACCTTCTCTTTCAGCTTCATCGAAGTCTTTTTTAGGAAAATCTATGTCAAAGGTAATATACAAATTGCCATGTAAGTTATTATTTTCATAATTTGGCATTCCCTCTCCCTTCTTACGTATACGCGCACCATACCAAGTGACTTTTTCCCGACTAACTGTTACTTTATGGCCATCCAAATGTATGATATCCATTGAAAATCCAGAAAGAGCTTCCTGAAATTTATAAATTTTGTACAAAATACCAATTTAATAATTACAAATTAAGACATACTTGCAGACTAATCGTGACGTTAGTGTATAAATCATCACCTTTACGCTCAAATCTATCGTGAGGAACTTGCAATACTTTTATAATTAAATCACCTGGTTCACCGTCCATATGCGGTTCACCTTCAGCTACAAAACGATTTTCTTGTCCATCTACCATACCAGGTTCAACTTCAATTTCCAATGTGCGTTCCTCATTAACAAGTTTCACATTGGGACATTCATCACATACAGTTTGTTGTATCATTTGGAAACGGCCTGGACCCAGATTACGTGTAACCATTTCTTGTCGACAATTACACTTACGTGTTCCACTCGCTGGTTTCAGCACTGGTTTATTTCTAACAATTTCAACAAAGTTTCCAGAATAAAGTTCCTCTAATGTTACATACATATTCATTACTATATTAGCGCCACGTGGAGTGTCGTGATGGTGTGAGTCTCCATTACCAAAATGGAATCCAAAATCTCCGAAAAAACTAGCAAATGGATCGCTCCCATGATCCATCATGCCATCTTTTTTCAGACACTCCTCACCGCAACGATCGTATGTTTTTCGTTTATCTGCATCAGAGAGCACTTCATATGCAGCACCGAGATCCTGAAATTTAACGGAGGCATCCGGATCATCCTTATTTTTGTCCGGATGTAATTCTTTTGCTAGCTTACGATATGCTTTTTTCACTTCATTTGTTGTGGCAGTTTTTCTCACATTTAAAATTTTATAAAAATCTCGCCCGGCTTCAACAAACATATACATAAACCCGAGAGTAATTTGGAGAACCAATAAATAAACTAGCCACTTCATGCTTGTGAGTGTATTTAAAACTAATTTCTTAAATTAAAATTCTTACTAAATTTCGTAAACTATTTTATATTACGATTTTTCAACTACGAAACTACTACAATTCCCATTTCGTTCAAAGGCAATTTTATTATATCTAAATAATTCTTTTTCCATACGCGTGGTTAATGGTGATTGGTTTTTGGTGCGATACCACGCAATTATAGACGTAGCACCTTTCACAAATGTGTGCTTTACTAGATGTACATAGTTTATATTTATTTTAATAATACAAATTAGACCAATTCATGATTTTTCTTCACCATGCTAAAATCTTACTAAATTGTTTAAGGTTTTAATATTTACGAACTAAATGTGTAATTTTATATTAACATAATAAACTCTTGCTAAAATGTTAATAGATTAAATGTATACTAACTTGCTTAATATTAATTTAACATGCTAAGCTATTGCTAAATTGTTAAAAGTTAAAAATGTACACTAACTTACTTCTATGCTTTTTATTCACCATACTAAATTCTTATTGTAATGCTAAATGTTTATATGTATACTTATACTTACTAATTTGTATGCTTCCATTTTCCCTTCCAAACTTTTGTAAATATGTCATTGTTAAATGTCAACTAAATAATTTATAACGAAACGTCTGTAATTAACCATTTAGCAAATCCAATAAGTTTTTAGGTGTTTTTTACATATAATTTTTACTACGAATGGTTTAAAATATTCTGGCAAACTCTGCTTTTAATAGAAGATTTGCACTAAGGATGTTTCTATTTAGCATTTCAATACATATGTAGCAATAAAATTCTTAATTTCTATATACAAAACGTTGTTATATTGCGCAACTACTAAAATATGGGAACAAAAATAAGATTAAATTTTTACTGAAACGAGTAACGAGCAAAATTCAAATCAAACTTTTAATTATTTGCTCGTTAAAAAGCTATTTACATAGTAAATTATAATTGCATCTTAATTTGGTTCTGCCATATGTTTTTGTAGCTGCGCTGAAAATGATAAATGTTTAACATTAGAATATTTTATTTCGTTTTGCAAAATAAAATTAAATTTTCCTAAAATTTTTCATAATATTGTCACGTAATTTTGGTTTGATTTTGTATTATACTTGTGCTGTGTGAAAAGGTTATAAAACATAATAGATAATAGAATATCTACATTTTTATCTTTATACTTACATCATATTGCATAATTTTTGATTTCTCAAGAATATGATTCCATTTAATAAGAAAGGAATTTGAGAAAGTATGTCAAGGACTCAAATGTTTACCTATTTATTTAGCAGGTTTACTGAAGAGATAAAATTCGTTTATGTTAAAGTAAAAATTTTTTATTAACCTTTAAACCTTTAAAATCTCAATTTTTAGGCTTTAACCCGTTCTCGTCAGAGACCCAGATGTCTAAGAGAAAAACGGGATAAGCTTAACAACATCAAATTAACTTAACACAAATGGAAATCGAAAAAGGAATTTTGTCTCTCACAGTGTAATTTATTCTTCATATCTTGTCTATCATTTTGGCTATAATAGATAATATATATAAATATAAATAAGAGCAAACAATGCAAGAGAAGAGATTTAGCTGGTTAAGCGGCTGGAGTGGGAAAAGCTGTTAAAACTATGGAGCTTCCATGGTCGTAATGACCACGTTTGTGTAATGAAATCATTTGAATCATTGAGATAGACGACAAGTATTGAAAAGACTTTATATTATGACGGTATTGTTGCGTTCCACCCTATTTACGTGGTCGTTCGCGATCACTGGATTCTGATAAGTAATATAAATAATTAACTTGAAGTTAGTATAACCGTTTATTATCTCTGTATTTTATCAAACACAACACAATATTTTCTAATAAACCTTTATCTCTCAAAAACTTATTTTTTAACTAAAATGGCATTCTAAGAAATTATCAAAGTTTACTTTAATTGTATATTCACAGCAGTATATTATATTGTAGTAAGAGAAACAAATTTTGCATATATATTCCTTACCATGCTTGTAACGCGATTTCAATTAAATCAATAAATTAATTAAATTAAGATTACTTAAAACTTATTCACACATATATAGGATATATATATATATATAGGACATATATAGGACTGAGAAAACTTGTGCCTAAAGGTTTGAAATAATCAGTTAGTAGTTGAATGCATATATAGTTTAGAATATAACTTTTATGGAGTTATGTCAAGGACTCTTGGTCAGGAGACTATCTGAGGAGAATTAGTACGATTTAGGGTAACTTATTTTGTAATTTTCATTTCTTTTAATGTATATTTCACTATATATACAGGCCTAGAGAACAAGAGAAGAAAGAAATGATACGATTATATTTCCTACGTTTTGAGCCGTAATGACTTTGTTTGTAGAGTGATATCAATTAATTCAATCAATTAATAAAATTAGGTAATGACTTCAATTTCATTGACATAGATGCATATAAGGAATTTAAGCAATTCTATACTTATTCTTATAATTCTATACTTATTTATAATGTTGAAGCTAATTGGGTCAGTACACTTGAGCAGTTTTACTCTCTATTAACTGCGAGGTTTCTTCATAACCCTTCTCTACGCCTTGACTGGACTACTGTTTATCACTTCATCAGATTTCATTATGGACCTCAGATCTGCATACCTCCCCGAGAAGCGTATAACCATTCTGCGATTCGATAACCCGATGTTGGTAAGCCTGTTAGTTTTCGTAAATAATTTCTGGGCTTTATCCTTTATGTATTTTTTGATCTATACTTAGTTCTCTACTAAAAGCATTTATCTTTTAGGTTATATCTTTCAGGAAAACTAAAATAGATTCGTAAAAGAATTAAAAGGAACTCTACGAGTATATTCCTTTCAAAATTTATTGTTTCATATTCAATCGTTTCAAATGTTTAAAACTTACCGGTAAAGAAGTGGGCCAAAATTTTATGATTTATGTTAAAATAATAACAAGGTTAATTATATTATTTTTCAACATTTAATTTAAAGTAGCAATTACTTAAAAACAGTTTTCGAAAAATAACTTAATGTTTAAGTTTCTTACAATAGTATTTCCAATTAAACATTTAAAAGCCAAAAATATTTTTTACAGCATTCGACATTTATATGATCCACTGTGCGCAAGTCGGTTGTGTGGTGGTGAAAGTGTGTGAAGTTTAGTTGAAGGTAGAATTTTAAGGAGCAAGGATAATAAAAGTTTCATGTAATCGGCATTATATGTGTGTTAATATATGTCGTGTGAAAAGCCATACAGTTAATATAATTAAATATATAAATCTTAATAAAAGTTTGCTTTTTCTCTAAAAATATTATGAATGAAGCCTAAATTTATTAATTGTGAGGTAAGCTTCTGGAAAACGGACTTCAATTCGAATAAATCGATTGCAATATATTTTTAAAATTTTTATATATATAATGTAAATAAATATTAATATTGATTTTTTTTTTTTGGAAAAGTAATGTAATGTATTATTCATAGTATTTCGTGTTTGAACATTTAATATTTATTACCGACTTACATGTAAACTTACGTTATTTACATAAAAGTTCACTTGCGCACAAACTGACATTTATCCACCACATTCGCTTAACAGTTCAGTTAATAACAAAAATAATAAAAAAAATTCCACTAAATATTGCCAAACATTATTAACATTTGGAGAAGTCAATAAACTTATAAATAAATTATAAATAATATAGATTACAAACAAAATATATGAAATCGCTTTCACATATTATTCGAAATATAATTTTTCTTCTTTTCTTTCGGAGAAAATTTTTTGTTTTGCCATTGGTGAAAAATTTTCTATAGAGCTGTCATTTTTCCAATCAATTTAACATATCCTTTTAATTCGGTCATATGAAACGTCCTCTTAGTCTTTAATTTTCATGAACTTTATCGACTTTTCTGTGTCAGCATAAATTAAAAAATCTCGTGCTGTTACTTTTATGCAAACCCTTCCCTTCCTCCATGTTTACGACGGTGTTTGTTCAGATTTAGATTCAATGTTCCAATATTAATCTAAAATATGATTTAATTCCCATATGCAATTAATATGAAGTCTGCAGTTACGTGTCGATTTCGGATCTGTCTTTAAGTTTACCTCAAACGCTACTAAATGGTCGTATGTCTTTCGCAGAAAAATCGGTTATATCGCAACTGTGCCACATGAATAACGTAGAACGATCAATTCTGAGTGGTACATAACCATTTCTTTGCCGAAAGTCTTGTCCACCACGACAATACGTGCTCCTACACATCAGCTCAAACAAAATAGTTTTTAAGCACCAAAAACGTCGATTTGATGAATCATCTGCCTTACAGTACCGAGTTGGCACTCAACGTCTTCTTCCAGTTCCTAAGCATTAAGAAAATAATGCATGGCGAGCATTTTTCTACCTACAAACAAGTCGTTGAGATTTTCAAAACATTGATTTTGAAGATTTCAACTTCAGAGTGACAGAGTAACTGTTTCAAAAATTGGTTCAATCGTATGTAATAATGGAGATTACTTCGAAAAACAATAAAACCATTTTCACTGATATCCACTATGTTTTCATTGTTAGATGCAAGACTTAAAAAGCAGCCCTCGTATGCCATTTAGATTCCAAGTTGTCCATTTTCATTTGATGATTTTTATATACCATAGATTAAATTCCGAGGTTTCTTTAAAACCCCTCTTTGTGCCTTGACTAGATCACTTCATCAGACTAAGCAATAATTGACCTCAGATCTATATATCATTTTTATATCATATTTTTATATATATTACTACTATATTATATTTATATACATACAAATAAAATTCTTTATTTAAAAAGCCTTATAGTGTTCGAGTAAACTCTATATGTTTTTAAATTATTTATTATACTCTTCTTAATATTGTAAAAATGATATATCGTTTTTATATAGAATTAAAATTGTTTATCTTAAAAAAACCTTATAATGTACAGAAAAATTTTTCCGAAGAATAATTGAAATTTATATATTATATTCTTCTTAATATTTATGAAAAAAAATTTAATATTTTTATATAGAATTAAACTCTGTATGTTTTTCCGAATAAAAATCTTAATTTACTTATTAAATATAGTACTTAATATAGTGGACCCTCTATATAAGAAAAATCAAATAATGTCCAAAAAGACTTCCCCAAAGAGAAGACTAAATATATTTAATATACTCTTCTTAATATTGTAGAAGACACAACAGGATATTATTTAATATATTTATAATCTATGATAAGGGATTACGATTCAGAAATATCAGACTCTTTCTCTGACTCTCTCTCTCTAAAAAAGTTACTTTAGTTAGCTGAATTGCCTAAAATTAGTTTATTTAATATTTATAATCTATGATAAGGGATTACGATTCAGAAATATCAGACTCTTTCTCTGACTCTCTCTCTCTAAAAAAGTTACTTTAGTTAGCTGAATTGCCTAAAATTAGTTCACTCTCTCTGGAAGCTTCCTTACAAAATAAGGGATATAAAATATAAAATTATATTTTTTATTTGAAAATAAATTTAATTAAATCAAAAAAAAAAATAAAACAAATTTTTCCAATTTATCTGAGTCGGTCAACAAATGAGTCCCACACGGCTCAAACATGAACCTGTAGAAGAACGTTATAACGTAAAGACGTTGAAGAACGTTGTCAGAGCAATTGTTGGTTAACCTGAGATTTGTAAGACGGTGTAGAATACTTGGTTGACTTGGTTTACATTTTTATTTAATTAAATCAAATAGAATAGAGAGAAACACTAAACATATATTATTTATTTTTTCAGATCTCTTTAATATATTTTTTCTTGCTTATACCATGGCCGCAATATTCTGTGATTAAAAATTTTTGCTCTAAAGATAGCAGTCGCTTAGTGCGAAAAGTTATTAGATCTAAATGGATGCCGATATTAGATAAATATCAGGTAAAAACAATTAAATCAACAATTTATATATTATATTATATAAATTTATTATATTTATATTATTTTCAAAGGTGAAATTGCCTTCAGAATGTCCTTTGCATCCCTCACGAGATTTTTTTTCACCACGGCAAGATGCAAAGAAGCGTGATAGACCAACACAATGGACTTGTCGTTTATGTGGAAAGAGTTTTTTTCAAGAAAGCCTTTTAGATCTTCATTTCGAAAAGCGTCACAACTCCACGGTTAATAAGGTAAGATGAGTAAATTATAAATTTGTAAAAAATGATATGTTATTAAATGTCTGGCCTTAAAAGTTCAGTTAAAAAAATACATTTAGATGTAGTCGTTACCCTTGTTTTATTATATATATATATATATATATATATATATATATATATATAATATATATGAAAAAAGATCAGACAACGAAATCTGTCAAGAATCGAGAAAGATTAAATTTATTATAGTTCAGTTCATTTAGTTCTTAAATTATCAATGTTTGTTCTTAAATGTTCTAAATGTCTGCGGAAATACTAGTTGCTAGTATTTCTAGTTGTCATTCAATGGAAAATGGAAAAAAAGGGAAATGGAAAAATATCTCATCTAGTAAATAGGTGTATAACGCACCGTATTAAAATTTTGGAAAACTTTTGTTGTAGTGGAGTTAAAGTTGCTTTGAATATATTAATAAAGTTTAATTACTTATTTAGCTATAACAATGCAAATGCTACACGTCTTTTCATTGATGGCTGATTTTACTTAATAAGTACAAAACCCTGTGCATAACCCAAACTTGAAATCCTATGGATATGACTCTCTGTAGACATTATTAGAATATTACCGGGCAGATTCTAGTTCTAGCAACAACGGATTGAACACAATAAAGATTGCGCTGACATTATTTACCAGATGCAATGAGATCAGAAAGGCAATTTGTATACTCGCTGGCAGAGCTCACGTGCTCTCCGCTTATGCATTGAAAATATTTCCATTACTAAATGGACTTATTTTTTTGTTGATGAATTTTTAATAATTTGTTTGAAACGCATAATTTATAACTTAGCAGTTACCATTTAAATAAATTTTTTACATGCAAGCTCCTTAAGTAAAGAAGACAACATCATTGCTATTGCAAATTTGCTGATATTTGTTTTTATTGTATTTTTTGTATTTTACATTTGCATTGTTGTTTATTGTTCTCTTGTCCTTCTTAAAAATATCAGTCCTAAATTTATCTTAAATGTATGCGGTATACAGTCAAAAAACAAATTAAAGAATCTAAAAAGAAGGATGGTAAAAATAGTTTAAATAATAGTGATATAATGACACCAAAATAATTTCTGTAAGAACCCTATACAGGGGTTTATTGCTAAAATTGAAGCCGTTTTATAAAGCTGTTATTTATTTATTCTCTACCCAAATTTAACTCTCTATCGATTTCTAATGAGATTGTAGATGGAATGAGGTACTTAAGCTAAAAATAAGAGTCCAAAAGTGATTAGATCCAATTTTTTATATATAATACGTCTTATCAAAATTTGAGTAATTCTGAAATTAGTTTCATATTGATTTAAAATTGAATATATAAAAGACTAATTTAAATAAAATCAAAATTCTTAGGTGGAAGATGCTGTTTGTTTGTCAGATTTTTGCGATATAATGAGATGTGAAGTTTTTCAAACCGAAGAATCTTCGAGTTTACAAAATGGTGAACAATATATGGTAACGGATATTGAAGTATGGGGAGACTCATTAGGACAAAGCTCAGCGATTGCAAAAGCAAACTCCGCTTATTTAAGCATTTTACCCCTAAGGTAAGTAAACATTTTGACTCATTTTGTTTTTATTAATTAATTAACTTATTAAACATAAACAAATTATATTCATAATTTGTCGAGAGTAATAAAATTTTTAAGACATTATTTCAAATATTACTCGCCTAAATTAAGTTCATACTTATTACAAAATAAATCCCTTTACTTCACTCAAATGGACAGTCAGTGCTCAATAAAAAAAAGTAAAAGCACAGTAGCATATTTTTATGTGAAATATAGACAAAATGCTAGTTTTTAACGTTGATAGGTCACTAATTATTGAATAAGTAAAAATTAAAAACGATCTACTTAATATGGGAGTAAACAGCTTATAACTGATAACTGATATAAATGATTTAAAAACTTGTCTAATATAATTTTATTATTATTTTTTTTTTTTTGAATTAAGACATTAGCTGTAGGAGACTACGTCTTCCGTTTATATATCTTTGGAAAAATTTTGAGCCTAGTACTCACTTATCTATATAAACCTTTAGTTCCCGTGTCCTGTGCCCATGAATGTAATTTATATACATTTTCTTGATACTATCATTGCAGAGTCATCTGCATAGGCAATAGTTTTGGGACCCAAATCAGAAACAGTTTTAGAGTTATATTTATACGACTACACTTCATACTTTTTTTGCATATTTATACACTGCAATTTATTATTTTCATTCTACGACCCATCAATGTTTTCAGTAGGATTATTGTAAATCAAATTTCGCTTGTCGATTATTTTATCACTTTGAAGGCTAACTTATTAATATTCCAAACTTGCCTCCTAATCTCTATATTAATGTGGAGATATTTTAAATAGATATATATATTTAAGTTACTTTAGTTCTTATTTTAAGTTAAATGTATAAAATCTTTTATTATCCTATTAAGTGTCACAAAGTAAAAAAAAAATTCCAAGAAAATTTTTATATAAATACTACAAACAAGAGATATATCTGGTATACAACTACTATATATTTTTTATCAATATAAATACTTTATTCTTGCACCACAGCTGTTTTTTCCAAAATATTGTGACCTTAATAGCTAAAGTCAATACCACAGTTCTGTCGATAAATCCCGTTTGAGAACCATTTGAGATTGAGACCTAATTGGTATCATTGAGTTGGTTTGTTTAAAAGATTCTAAAAGTAACGCTACTCACTTTAGCCTCCATTCATTTTCAAAACATCACCAAAAATTTAAAACTAATTTTGGTCAAAAAAACAAAAAAAATTCTGCAGAGAAGATGCAATTTGTGGTTATATTTTATTGTCTCTTCAAAGGTCTTATAATTGAAGCAAAAGAATTTAAACGAGAACAGCTCTTATCAGTTCTTGTCTTCTTGTCGTCGCTTTGCTATCGTTTACAACACCTACATTGTTGTCAATTTTAGTGGAATCTTCCAAAATTGCAAACATGATTAGAACTATTTTTCTATTTGATTAAACTGAGCATCTATCATCCCATCAAATTTCTTAAAAGAAACTGCCAAGAGCTTTGCTGAATCATCAATTTCAAAATTAATATCCTTTGGGAAGACGAGCTCTTCAACAGAAAATCACTCATCAGGGATTTCGTCGTCATTCTAAAATTAAAAAGTTTATGAAAATTTTAATTATTATATCAGGAATTACATACCTAAGATCTTAGAGATTGACCAACAATTTATTTCTAAGATCAAATTTAATCTGCAAAATTTGTTCTTTGTGACGTATGCCACAGAATGAGCAACATAGCCCTTCATCAGTGACTCACTCAATAGAGACTCCCTCGTTCTTCTAAAATTAAAATGTTAATGAAAGTTTTAATTATTATATTAGGAATCATATATCTCAGATCTTGAACTTTAGCCTTTACCTATTATGTTACTCCCCAACTCCACATGAGCTCAAATAATAGCTTGTTGTAGTACAACAGGATTGGTGTTTGTTCATACATAGATTAGAGTACAGCCCGAATATTTTAGATTTTCTCCAAGCTAAAGATGGATCACATCCGTAGCCCCACAACCACGATAAAAGAAATTATAGAATATACCCAGTTTCATAACATGCCTTCCTATTATGCAGTGACTCATCAGCACCATCAGCTCAGTAGTGCTGAGCAGGTTTCGCTTTAATTGAAGTAGCTGATTGTACCAATCAGTTTTCTGTCCAGTTTAGACCAGATCAACCAGGTCCAGTTTTGCTTGACTATGCTCAGATATTTTTGCTTGTTTGTCAGTTTATCTGTTATAAGTGGAATTCCAATAGAAGTGAACGAGAAGTGAATGTCAGAGAGCAGAGTTCCTGCTTTGGCCAGCTTGATACTTTCATACGATTTACAACATTGTTTACGGTTATATATTAAAGTCAAATACAAAAAATAATGAAATGAATAAAATTTTAGACATATGATTTAATTTTCTTTTCATAAATTTGAAATTAAAAGGATAGCCAACTGCTATTGTTGAAGCATGTTAAAATAAATATTTAATACATTGGACAGTCATAGATTGCCGTGTCTGATTGTGATGTCTGATGGATTCTTCAATTTCGAGTACCAAAGATTCTTCCATATATGTCGCTGATATATACTACTCGTAATAAAATATTCACTAAATATTGTTATTAACAATGAAATATATTCACGGCCGACGATTCATTTTATATAGCCGGTGTGGTATTGTCGTAGTTCTAAGATTGTGAATAGGACTGTTGGTTGGTTAGTTCGCAATAGTACAGTGTAATATATCTTTTAGATTGTGGAAGACTACTGTCACTTCTGTATTTTTAATAATATAAATATAAAGTTTAAATGAAAGAAATAATTAATAAGTAAATGAGAGCACACTTATTCTAATAATACTTATTTTTTAAAAAAATTTAATTACTTATAGAACATCATCTGCGTCACAATCAGCTAAAGTACAAAGTCAATATATGTGTCAAGAGAAAAACAGCCAAAATAATATTAAGAATACGGGTAACATTAGTAATAAAAATAAAATAAGAGTAATAACTACACGGTTACCTTAATATCAAAATCCTTTCAGATAATTGCAATTTTACGAAAGGATCGGATGTCAAAATAAAAGCTGGCAATGCCACAAATATGCACAATATCCGCGCTAGCTGTAAGGCGGAAGAACTAAGTAAATTGAAGCTAAAGTGCGAACAATTGGTTCGAACCTGCATCACAGGATTACTGATTACAATGTCAAATGTGGCATTCAAAGAGATGGAAGGTAAATAATTACTATATTTTTTTGTTAATATAAATTGCTTAAATTATTATATCCTTTAGATGATAGGTAAAACAGTGACCGTCTTCTTATTATTCATATTAAAAGATATATATATTTATATTTTATTTTAAATTAAGTTTTATTAAATGACTTATGAACACTGACTCTGAGGTTCAAATTTGGTGGGGTACGAGTTCAAGCCTATGTATTGGCAAGGACAAGGATGCAATTATTTACGAATAATCAAATATGCGAAATAATTCCAAGGCCACTGGTGATGGGTATTTAGCAAAACTCGAAACAGTCAAAAATTCAATTATTTAAAAATAAATAAAAATTCTGTTGTTATAATTCACTACTGTTCGAAAACTCTTCATTTTATTTTAATAAATAAAAATAAATAAATATATATTGACTGTATATTTAAAACTTTTTGGTAAGTTAATAATTACCATATATAGTGATATACAACTTTGAGTGTAACCACGATTTTTCAATCAATTGTATTAGCGGGAATGAGCTTTTTCAAAATTAAGCTCACCTTAGGGACTTTCTTACCGTATAGCTGATTAATTATACTATTTTGTATCGCTGATGCCAAGTTTATCGACTTTTCACTTCTTCGACAGTTTATTAAGAGATTTGATAGTAATAAATAAATTGCCGTAGATTTTTTTCAAACCGATTGGCATTTAACAAATTTAAGAAGTTTCCTTTAAATAAAATCGATATTAAAGACGAGAAGTAAAATCTTGTAAATTTTATTTCGATGAAAACTCGACCTCTTCATCTCGGTCAAATGCAACATTCTATTGTTATAGTGAATACACTGAGTTAATCATGGCTAACTATAATCCCTGAAACGAACTACATACTTTTTCATAACAGGAAATGATCTATCAACAACATAAGTTGTTGTGTTTAATAGAATATTTAAAATCGTTTAGAATTATTTCATTATCGGAAAATAAGTTCCATAGCTGTACTGTAACAATTTCAAAATAAAGTAGATACTTAACTCTTCCACATCGTAATTTATAATCAATTTATATCACAGACATCAGTATTTTATTATCGGTGAATATGTGTATAATATATACACTATAAATATAACTTGTCGGGTAAATTCAGAGAGAGGGGGACTAAGTCTATTTTTTCTCCTCTCTCCCTTGATTACTGAAATGAAGTTTTCACAATGCTGTAGGAATTTTCTCCATTCATTCCTAAGAGGTGGTTTAGTGGGTTCAAGTCTCACACGGTGACTTTCGAATTCAGAGAGGGTTTCAGTACTTCAAACCCCTCGCTTGACTGAGTGCTTAACTGCATTAATAATTTTTCACGTCTTACTTTAAGTGTGTCCGAAATTTTGACTACTTAGAGAGAAATATCTATTCCTAGTAAAATAAAAAAATATAAATTTAACTTGCAATTATTGAACACGTATTGAAAGATGCTTAATTAAATATTTGAAAGTTCAAATTAATATATTTTTTTTTTACATGCGAAACACAGTATTAACCACAAGATTAAGATTAATTCAAGATCTTCAGTCTGTTTTCATTTTTAAATTTATTTTACATAAATCACATTTAATTTAATTATATTTATTTATTTAAGATGAAATGAATAAAGCAGTTTGCTGGTATCTATCTTGTGATCGTTACTGGGAGGATGGTCCATTGGAGCCGAGAGCATTTCCATGGGGTCTAATAGTAATTCTTATATTCGTGCTGTCCACAGGAATCTGTTTCTGTTATTACATTATTTGGATACTATTTGAGTGAGTAAAACTTAAAATTAAATATATAAATAAAGTGAACTTATCAGCAAATACCCACTACCCTAATCCCCATATCTATGAATTTTTGGCATTATTTCCCTTAATTGCATTAATATATTCTTAGCTTTATTTACTAATTATAATATATATGTGTATTATATACGTATACATATTATAAAGTACAGTTATTAATATAAGCATGTAAAATATTTTGAAGTTCTAATAAGAAAAGGAAAAAGATATCAATCAAGTTGTATGAACAACTTGTTTTAAAGATCCTATTTTTATATTTCAATGTGAAAAAACTTAAATTAAATTTAAATCTTATTAAATAATGTAATATACTAATAATAATAACTCCAGTTAGCGTATACCCGATAGGATTTTGGGGTTCAATGATAATTGATTTTCTCAATTCATTTTTTTTATTTAAATTTTACAATATTTTTCCAAAAAGCCCCCTTAAATAAGTCTCTGTATACACTTCTTCACTGCAATTACTATTTATATTTTGTTTTTATTGTTACCTTGATTATTTCTGATTAGATCATTAAAAAAAATTAGATCAATTAAAAAAAAATAAAAATTTTGTTATTACTATTCTACTCTCGAACAGTAGAGAGTCTCTTCAAAAAAAAAAATAAAATAAAAATAAATCGTTTATGGTTAATGTCACGATAATGTCAAGATATTCCCAATGTCAAAATAAGTAGACCCGACCCACTTCCTAAGAATATAGTTAATATTTATATATTATACTTTCAAATTTTAAGGGAACATTCTAATAAATTTAAAGTTTTCAATTTTAGTTCTGACGAGACAGCAATTAATTCAAATCACCACATTAGTCAACACAATCAGTGTCTTAAATATTCTCCGGATAGTCCAGGTGGTCAGTTATTTTCACATCAACATATGCACGACTTATATCCTGAACAATCCCAAGCAGAACATCCCTACAGTTTAAGACATTATTATGGGGATCAAATTCAAATCGATACCAGCAGCAGCACAACTCACAGGAACGGTCAGCGTACATCGACACCATTACGCCGTCAAGGTCAAAATAATCTGCCATATCAGGAAAAGTATTTAGAGTCACGTGACTCCAAAAATAAACCTTTAACAACTTTACTTAACAGCAATAGCAATTCCAATACAGCAATAGCAGCAACTAGCACAGCATCACTAGCTAATACAATCGATTACAAGGTTAATTCATTGAGTGACGCAGCCGCAAAGCCAATCAATTCTCTTCAGCATTCATTGGATATGCATCATAGCTATGTGGGCGCATCTCAGCCATCTCTACATGCCTCATCATCCGCTCACGACATCATCGAAAACGAAGTAGGTCAGAACGAGCACTATATTTATGTTACTTACCCACCCGATTTGAAGAAACGCTTTTTTGAGAAATTTGAGTGATGACTTGCCTAGGACAGATGCTGTGACATTATACTTAACATAAATGTTTCATAAATTTTATTTAAAATTTCATAATATAAAGAGTGCAATTCTTTAATAAACGAATGAACGCAAAATGATATATGAAGAATGATAAATACACACAAATAATTGGTGGAAACCCACTTTGTTACGATGTACGATCCACATAATTACAATTTACTTTTCAAGCAATTAATTGGGACCAGGAGTTTAAGCTTTTTCTGTATCCGAAGAATAAATTATTTCAAGTTTTAATATAAAATCAAATTATTTAAATATTTTTTTTTTTTTGTGACCAACTAAATATAATTCATACCCTGTAATCGCCCAATCAGCTTTGAGAAATCAGCAATCCACAATTTAGTAGTACTACATATCTAAACTATTCTATTGCACGACTCACTATTAAGAACTTTATGTTTTTTTAAGAAGTACGAGTACGTCGCTATTTTTTCTTCAAATATTGTTGGCAGTGATATATTATATTTTCATTGCCTTTGTTGAAGCAGTTTATTTGTGTGCGAGTTCGAGTAAATTGATGGTAAATTAAGGGAAATACTAAATTATGTCGGTATGGCAGCGAATGTTGGTATTTACCAGAATTTCAAGTAGGGTAAATTAGATAAAAATTAGATAAATTAGGTATTACCATTGTAAGAATTTTAAAAGATGTCTCATAGCCGACATAAGTCAGAAATTAAGCAATGTTTTTCAGAAAAACCGGTCATGTCACAACTATGTGACTTGAACAACATAAAACGGTCAATTCTGAGTGGTACACAACCATTTGTTTACTGGAAGTGTTGGAAGAATTGAGAAAACTAACCGTAGAAGGAATATCGGTCGCCACCAGAGAAATGCGAGCTTCTAGACAGCAATTTAAACAAAAGAGTTTTTGAGCATTTTAAACGTCTAGTTCATGGGTCATCCGCTTCACAATCCCATTTTGGTACTTAATACCTTGTTCTTATTCCCAAATATTAAGAGAAAATTGCGTGGCGAGTGTTTTTTCTACGCCCGATCAAGTTGTTGAGACATTCAAAACCCTGATTATGAAGATATCAACTTCAGAGTGGCGAAACGGTTGATTCAATCGAATGCAAAGATTTATTGAATATTATGGACAATACTTCGAAAACCAATAAAGCCATTTTCACTGATTTACCACTGTATTTTGATTGTTAATATTGATAATATCGTTGTTAATATCGTGTTAATATTGATTATAATGATATTAATTTAACATTGGACTTTATACAGACATAAATGATTGTTATATAATACCCATATATGTTGTACTCTGTTCTTAAAAGTTTACCAAAACCTAATCATTTAATAAATTAATCTTTTAAATAACATTAGCTACACTTAAAGAACTACTTTTAGCTTTTTTGTGAAGCCCAACACTAACATCCATTTCGCCCGAAAAATTGACGTAAGGCCTCACATAAAATAAATTTTTTTTACCTTATCCAAACATTAGTGGACCTTTTTTTTTATATTGAGTTTGATCACAATTCTTAATTTATTTTTTAATGGATGTTAGTATAAGGTTAAGACAACTACTCTGAACACTGTTAAATACCTTCAGCAGCTACCCGTAGAAATATATATCTAAATAGTTTTAAACACCGGACGCACGTTTAGACACTAGTATGTTTCTCTTAACCAAAACTAGTCATGTTTATTATATATGCTTAAATATAATATATTATATTTACAAATGTACAAATATAGTGTATTTGTTAGTTCTGTTTAATAATCATGGTTTTACAAAACAAAGATCTACTACAATATAAAGACCTCAAATATGGATAACTTTAAATCATTTCCCTGAAAGAAGATTGTTTGGACTGTGACCATACGCCTATGTGGACTAATACTCGTATACTTAAAAATATCCATCATCAAATATCCACCATCAAAATATTTAACAGTTTATATTTCAGTTTACCTGCGAGTAGGTATATTTAATAGTTCAAACCGAAAGTACCAGTATTCGTTCCAGGGGGCTTAATACTATGTAATAATTATAATTTATAACATAATTCTTATAATCAATACGTGACACTAATTTATAAAATTATTGTATTCTATATATTTTACGGCATATTGGCATGACGTTAGCCGATTGCATCCGACCTAGTTTCTTTTATTTAGAACAATTTCGTAATTTTCTGTAGAAAGAATGATCTTTCCCTGACATTGCTTTCTTAATTATCGTGAAATAGGGCAATTGGCCAGAAAGTGTCTAATGTCCTCACATGCTTTCTGGTTGCAAAACTAGTAAGTAAAATAGTATTTATTTTTACCTTACCTATCTATAAAAGACAATTAATTTCATTAGAAGTTTTTATACTGAGCTTTTTTTAGAACTTAACTTTTCAATAATACCTATAATATAAAAAGTACGAATGCTAGCTTTTACTCCAGATTTAATATTTAAATCAGGTAAATTTTATATATATCTGCCCTCCGAAAAGTAATATGTATTAATGATGTTCGGAGATATAAGAATAAATGTGAAATACACAAATACGTAACATATATTAATGTAATCTATTTAGATAATGTATCTAATTCGGAACAAAATATTTCTACTTTAATCACAATTTAAAATTTAAATTTAACTTTCCGAAATAATCACGTTACTAAAAACTTAGTCCATTAATTTCGTTTATATTAACATTTTCACAGTCACTATTTTTAACTCATAAATTTATAGTTCAGAACGCGCGAACATAATGAGAATTATATTGCAAATTTAATTGAGAATTACATTGAGAATTATATTGAGAATTCTACTGAGAATTATATTGAGAATTATATTGAGAATTACTTTGAGAATTATATTGAGAATTATATTGTTTAATGAAAATTACAAAGAATGAAGCTGAAAATAAGCATTTTATTTCACTAAAGGGATATATATTTTTTCCTTGTCATTTATTGAATTTTAATAAATAGAAATTGAAAATAATTAAAAAACCTATATGTATGCAATTGAGCTAGGGTATTCATATATATCAATGATTATAATACAATATAAGTGACAAACATGATTATTTGGATCCTCATGTTTGACTTGAGTTTCTCTAGGCATTCAATTGTATATAAGCGAATTACTTCTTCAACGGCTAGTAGATTTAGATCTTTGTGAATCGGAGAATATCGGAGAATATTATTTTGTACTCTTTGGATTTTTTCTATATATGTGTTACACGCTGAACACCACAGTTCTATACGATAGTTCCAAATTGGCTTCAATATTGATTTGTAAATTAACAATTTATTATCGAGACTGAGTTTAGAATAGCGATTTAGAAGTCAGTATAATTCCTTTAAGATTTAATTGGCATCTATTGGCTTCAATATGACTTGTCCACGTGAATCTTCTATCTAAATGAATTCCCAGATATTTTACAGAATGTGTTTGAACTGTGTCCATATTATTGGTTTTAATTGCAAGCCATGGCCATGTTTCTCTCCTTAGAGTAAAAGTGTACCTGAACGTATTTAATTTCATTCACCTTGATTTTCCATTTAGCAAAGCACTTTTCAATTAAACCAAGATGTCTGTATAAATTTTATGATGCTATAGTGCAGTCACTTTCGATGCTGACTATAGCAGTGTTGTCAGCGAACGTCGTCAACAAATTGTTAGGATATAGAAGAATGCCAGCTGTGTAGATTAAGTATAGAAGCGGCCCAGGGACACTACCCTGAGGAACTCCAGTGTTGATATCGTGCTCTTGCGAAATAAAAGATTTGTGTCTAACTCTATATTTTTCGCGAGTCACGTAGGATTTCAGAAGTTTATGAACGTTTTTCGTATCGAGTGCATTATTTTAAGTAAAAATCTGTTAAGCCACACTTTATCAAGTGCCTGCGCTGCATCAAGAAAAACTGCCGTACAATATTGCTTTGATTGTAAAGCTAGGTGTGTTTCATTAGCGATTCTAAGGATCAGTTCAATTGTTCCATGCCCTTTACGAAAACCAAATTGATGGTACGAATTAAGAATTAAATTTTCTATCGGTGAGGAAATCAGGATTTTTTTTTTTACTAGAAGTTTTTCGAAAATTTTTGAGATTTACGACAATGAACCTATTGATCAATATGATGTAACAACTGAAGGATATTTTTAAGGCTTCGGGATCATTTTTAACAACGATGTTTTTCAATGCATCGAAAAGTACCCAAGAGACAAAATGCTGTTGAAAATAGTGAGAATGAGGACGATCACTGTGTCCGACAAGAGAATATGTGATTTTAACATTCACAATTTTATACACACATATATCTACGATATATAATAACCATATATGTTTTACTTATGCGAGTCAAATATGCAAATTTATTAAAACTAACGACCCGACGATTTGGACCAACTACCACGGGATTGTTTCTACCGCGTGAAAGCTTTTAAGTATATACTGTGTCAAAGATTAAAGCCACATGACAATTCACTGATTAGGCTACATCAGTGCGGCATTCAGTATGGTCACTCTACTATTGACCAGATATTCACACTCTAATCAATCCCAAAAAAATGTATCGAACATAACATCTACGTCTACAATCCTTTGGTCGATACTATATCAATACTCATATTATGAGGATAGAGGACCTCTATCAGTCCTCATAACCTCTATTCACTGACCTCTATTCAGTGCCAGAAAGTAAAAAATTAATTCCAAGAAAATTTTTTATATAAATACTACAAACAAGAGATATATCTGGTATACAACCACTATATATTTCTTATCAATATCAATACTTTATTTTTGCACCACAGCTGTTTTTTCCAAAGTATTGTGACCTTAATAGCTAAAGTCAATAGCACAGTTCTGTTGATAAATCCCGTTTGAGAACCATTTGAGATTGAGACCTAATTGGTATCATTAAGTTGCTTTGTTTAAAAGATTCAAAAAGTAACGCTAATCACTTTAGCCTCCATTCATTTTCAAAACATCACCAAAAATTTAAAACTAATTAACATGAATATTGCAAAATCAAATCACAAGTTTGTCAAAAAAACAAAAAAAATTCTGCAGAGAAGATGCAATTTGTGGTTATATTTTATTGTCTCTTCAAAGGTCTTATAATTGAAGCAAAAGAATTTAAACGAGATCAGCTCTTATCAGTTCTTGTCTTCTTGTCGTCGCTTTGCTATCGTTTACAACACCTACATTGTTGTCAACTTTAGTGGAATCTTCTAAAATTGCAAACATGGTTAGAACTATT